TTGTCTGAGATGTGATAATGACCGATCTTAATCACTGGTTCACCACAGACTGCAGCTCAGTCAAATCAGCTCGGATCAACCTACTTTAATCATGGAAATGAATGTCTAGAGCAGGGGCATCGTTCCCATGCAGTGGATCTCGCAACAATGATGATTGGATAAAAGTGGTCGTTAGCTAGCAATACATGCCTGTTCCTAGATGATCCATAAAGTAATTATACATTGACCCTTTCATTCATGCAAACGTAGCTGTGTTACACAACACGACCCTCTGCATCTTTTGCTCTGCCAGGGTCCACCTACTTGACAATGAACAAAGACCACTCTTCATATAGCATCACGCTTACAAACATAAAGGTGCCTGTATCTCCAAACTTTACAATGAAACGTGGGGTTTTTATTAGAGCAATGTGCTCGGCTTGGCCAACAGCACCTTGTGTGAAAGTTTCGCGTTCAATGTCGCAAACAACCCAAAAAATATCTTTTGGTCGTCGTCGTCGAAGAGGTCGACCCCCAGATCCAGTTTGGCTGGTAGCGACATTGCGAAATCTGGGATCGCCCACGATGAACTTCATACTTTGACATAAGATTCCTTTGACCCCGACAAGCACATTGCTCGAATAAAAACCCCACGTTTCATTGTAAAGTTTGGAGATACAGACACCTTTATGTTTGTAAGCGTGATGCTATATGAGAAGTGGTCTTTGTTTAATGTAAAGTAGCTAGACACTGGAGAGCCAAAGATGCAGAAGGACCTCTTTGTGTAACTCAGCTCATTATGGGTCAACGTATACTTTTCAGTAATAGCTCATCATTGCCCGCTAGCAGCCATTTCTTCACAATCAGCGTTTTTGCAAAATCCACTTCATGTGAACGATTCTCCTACTCCAGCCGAGCGTTCCATCATTCAAATTTCTTGATCCGAGCCGATTTGACTGAGCTACGGTGGAACAGCTAACATGTAAATTAATGAATCGCAGACCCTGCGAATGTCTCCGTCTTTCAAACTTTTGGACGCACCCATTCCAAATTTTCAAATGAAACATGAGGTCTTTTTTAGATCAACATGATCAGCATGATCAAGAGCACCTTGTGTGAAAGTTTCAGGTTCGAAAGGGGAAATGTCAATATCAAGGATTGAATGTACAGTGTTCATGCATTTATTACAAGAGGTGTCCGACCTAGTTAATTTCCACTCCTCCCACTCCCACAACTTCTTGTCTCTTCCTCCCATTCTCAACTGTTGCCCCATTCAAGTATTCAACTACCACCTGCAAACGATCGTCCTGCTTCAACCCATCATGTTAATCGTACACTTGTCTTGATCCGAAAGCCTTCGACTGATTGGCGAGTTCATGGCGTGTACACAGCCTTGTCACTCTACTTGAACACGTACCTTTCTTGACACCTACACCTTCCCTTGTACACTCTTCTATCAACCTCAATCGTAACAGCATCCATTCCAGCAATTGCTAGTAGCAATGCCTTTACTCCATTGTCTCCAACAGCGTTCTTTACTTGCAGCAACTTGTCTTACAGCCTTGTTCACGTGAACAGCAGATAGCCATTCTATAGAAGCAGCTTTATTTACGTGTAGCAACTTGTTTCAATACATACGACTTCTTATGGATATGGATATGGATATGGATATGGATATGGATATTGGTTTGGTATATGGGATGAAAGGAATTGGGTATATACAACGCGTGGAAAGGGAGCCTTTGTTCCTATTGGTCAATTTACCATTATGCATGATGCTGTCACCTTGAAGAGCAATTGGTGCATCCAATCCTTGTACTTGGCGCAGCTACTGTTATCATCCACCTCCATGATTTGACACGCCATGGGTGTAATTCGCCATTACGCATCCATCCATTCATTTTTATACAATCACAACAATTGCACGCTCAAAGGATATAAGTTTAACAAATCAATTTATCTTCCCCCATTGGAGAGGCGATTGGTTGTAACTCTCGGTCTATCTCTTCTGTGAATGAGGTTGCATTAACAAAGGGGCAATTTTCTAGATCTCGTCTTGTGTGCGGGTACTTGATGCATTGTATTATAGATTAATTTCTGGTATGGGGAAATGTAGGATTGTAGAAGCATACTCCACTTGTAAATGTGTAGGGGATCATCATGTCGGTGTTTGTGTCAAAAGGGATGGGGCGCATCTGATGCTCAATATTGTATAGAAGGTGGTACTAACATAACAGCATCATTGTTATACGAACAACGTCGAGCACAAAAAGGTTATTTATTTCTTATATACACGTAACGAGGGAAAGTCGAGTACAAGAAATGACCAACATGTTAGCTAGAGATCTTTCAGTTGCAAAATGCGGTTCGTAAGTCCTTGAGCATCAGCACCGACAAGGTCAGCGACCCTCTGACCATCACAAAAGAAGAAAAAAGTAGGCATCGCCTTTATCGCTGCGACTTGAGAGATATCCTGCATTGTCATACATTTATCAGAACGAGTCCTTCCCATTTCTCACAGTAAACCACTTACTTCACAATTATCGACGTCGACTGATAAAAAAGTAATATCAGGATGCTCATTGGAGAGCTTCTCAAAAACAGGGGAAATAAATCTGCAGGGACCTAAGTTACGTTGTGTGAGAACAACTGTTGCCAAGGAAACGTTGGTGACGCTTATCCACCTACCACACCAGGCAGCCCAAAAGTCAACAGCAACCTAAAATTCAAACAGGTATTAGAATGAGCAAGACTCCAAAGAGGAGGATTGAATGCACAAAACCTCTCATACCTTCTTGTTGTCTTTGATAACTTGCTCGTAGGCAGCAAGATTCTCGATTTTTTGTACTGGCATGTTAAGAAAAGATAAAGGGATAAAGAAGAATCCGTAGACGTTTCATCCTTGTTGGGTCTTTTATGCTTTAACACCGAGTGGCGGAATGCCAACCTTGCATGAGTGTTACACATTTTCATACATGCTTGCAGTGCTTGCCTTTACATAATACTACCACTGCTAATCTACTCTGTTTCAGCTCGAAGATTTGAAAACTACCATGTCTGTTATTGATAGTTAACCCAGTGGCAATTCCAATGCAAGAAGATGATTACTATTGAATGTAAGTGACATGGCGTGTTTACATGAAGGTGGCAAAGTTAACCGGCTGGGTACTCATAAAAGGAAATCGGCGTCTCCATTGAGGTCAACCTCAGCCCACTTGGACCTGATTTATGCGCACCCGTCTCCTCAAACGTCACCTGCGCTCTCTTTTCTCAGTCTCTCTCTCTCTCTCTCTCTCTCTCTCTCAGCATAAATTAGCCAACGTTTTCGTCTTTGCATCCACCAACCGCCTTATTGATTCCACCGACCAAAAGGCGCCTAGCTACAACGGCTACCTTCTTCTACAACCAGACACGCTCATTATGAAACGCATGGCAGCCTCAACGCTGTGGCCAACAGCAAACACACGTATCCAACAGCGAAGCATAGATTTCAATGGTGACAACAATGAAGGTAGGTTGTGGATAGAACATGAGTGGTGTGGATGTGCATATGAAGAGTATTGAAAAGTATCTTTCTACAAGGATGGTCTTGATGGTGGATACCAAGTGGGTCTCTACGCCTTTACGTGAGTCATCAACAACAAGGTTATGGATGAGTGGTTCATTGTCCACAACGCGTTTACCATGTTCATGAAGGTAAGAGGAATCAAATCATGTGGATCTCATGCAAGATATTAAAGGGTCTCTTTGAATATGGATGGTTACCATACACAACAGCATAATGGACCTCCATGCCAACAAGCTATTCAGCGATTTATCACCGCAAATCATATATCCGCCATTGCAAGCTTTACAAAGGTAACGGCAAAGAGAACGTGTATACTTTCAGTAACGTTGCTAAAGATGGCCTCAATGGGTATCATTTATTATAGCAGCATCATTCCACAAGGTATCAGCGCACATGCCAACTATGCAATTTATGCTCCCATTCAGGCACCAGCAAGGCATGGAAACAGGATGGCCATGGCTACGGATCGTCTCCTTGGATCATTGAGATTTGGAACAGCTACGTAGTGGTTGCAAGGTAACTTGGATGAGGATGGGCTCTCGGGCGGATTATTCATGGTGTAATTTTGAGCAGAGACTGGTCGTGGTTGTGGATCACTCTCCTTGGAATGTCTGTAACGGTGTCGATAACAACAGCTTTTGGATGCTATACATGTACAAGTCCGACCTACGTTTTGGTGAGTTATTATGCAAGATGGAGCAACGGCGAACAAGGATTGACGCTTATGGTTTTCCATTTATCCACAGGCTAAGGTTTTTTTGGTGACGCATATGGTTTATTGCTCTGTCAACATGCCCAGATTTGTAACATTATGATTTTGATGGCATCAGGTATGGATAGTTGGGTAGTGTAGCTATGGATGGCTATTGACAATGGACATGGTCAACGCCTTTTTTTTGGGAGGTCTAGTTATTGACGATGGAAAAAGGAGCCGTTGTGTGAAGAGATAAGGATCGCTCAGCGTAAGCCGCATTACTGTCGCCAGGGACGCCTGTACCTTTTCTGGAGCTTTGGTATTATCAGCACCCGCATCATTAGCTATTGTATTCAGCACCATCCATCATTGTCAGCATCTCTCCAGGACGGGCAAAGAAGCATTGGATTTTCGTAAGGTTCAAGGTATCGAATGAAGCAGACGTACTCGCATTCGGTAAGGCGGCACCTTTTTATTATCAACATCAACCAGGCGCTCTACCAGCAGAACTTTGTTTGGCTAATCACTCGTTTTCGTTGTGGAAGCATCTTTTATCATCGGCGCCAACAGTATCAATATGACTACGGTTTTGATCGCTTTGGCAAAGCTTGCACTCTTCACCAACCAACATTCATATTTATAATATAATCACCTTGAGATCATTTACACCTTCCTTTACATATTACGGTCATTCACATTGATAAAGTCGGATACTATACCAGCTCATCATTATGTATAAATGTTTGTGCTTGATTGATTGTCCACCCACGGCTGTACATAGATAACTTTTAAATTCTTGAAGATGTTGGATGGCTGCAAGCTTTTCTTGTTGTGACACAAGCATGCATGTACTTTAACATGTAATTCTTTCGAAGCAACGTTAATACATCAGATTTCTTATGACATTCAACAAAGGCATGTACCTATCCTTACATATAAAAGAAGCTGTCAAGCTTTTTCTAAAAGATCATGAGGAGTGAGCTACATAGCATTGAGGAGATGTACATAGATAGCTTACGCTAAAATGATTGAATGGTGTCGTGCCTGTCCCCATGTCTTGTTCCTTTTCTAAAGTTTCGAATTGCTATGTATTGGATCTTGCTACTGCTGTTGTTAACCTGTAAGAAGGTGATTCCACCAGCAGCCCATTTCGTCTTACCATGTAGCAGGAGGGAGAATAATGGTAAACGTATGCTCCATATGTAAATTAAAGACATTGACAACACCAAAATCATGCATGTAAATCACGTCGCCTCTGATACGCGATGAAAATCGATTGAATCTCAGTGTAGCACACGCGACATTTCCGCGTGAACCTCTTCCGCTCCTTCATGTACATACAAGAGCTTATCATAGAAGGCTTCAAATCATATATCTCTCGCACTCATATCACCGGTTGGGACCCTGAATTCAATGCAATCACCGGCTTGAATGGCTCTGGAAAGTCCAATGTCCTGGACGCTATTTGCTTTGTCCTTGGCATCAGCAATCTGTCACAGGTACGATAAACTCGCATTTCAAGACAAGACGATCTTTTTATTTATAATGGACAACCATTAGGTGCGTGCTAGCAACTTGCAAGATCTGATCTACAAGCGTGGTCAAGCTGGAGTGACAAAGGCATCAGTTACCATTGTGTTCAACAACGAAGATCGTGGACGTAGTCCTGTGGGCTTCGAGAGTTACCGTCAGATCACTGTGACACGACAGGTAAACATGCGTATCTCGAAGGAAAATGGCTTGATTAACACGTAGTATCTTGTTAGGTGCTCATGGGAGGAAGGACAAAGTATATCGTCAATGGCCATAATGCTCAGCAGCAAACGGTCCAGAACTTGTTTCAATCAGTGCAGCTCAATATCAACAATCCACACTTTTTGATCATGCAAGGACGTATCACAAAGGTGCTCAACATGAAATCGACCGAGATCTTGAGTATGGTGGAAGAAGCGGCTGGTACAAAGATGTTTGAGGATCGCAAGAACAAGGCGTTTGTCACTATGGCTAAAAAGGAGCGTAAAGTGGATGAGATCAGAAAGGTACATGGGAAATCGATCCACGCTATAGTATCATCGTGCTCATTATCATCCTGTAGATATTGCGGGAGGAAATTACACCACGATTGGATCAGCTGCGACAAGAGAAACGCGTGTACTTGGATTTCCAAAAGACTGAATCAGATATCGAACGCTTGAATCGCACACTTGTCGCTTTTGAGTATACCCGGCATCAGGTAAATAATACATGCTACATACCAGACCACTCGTAATTGACTCATGTCCTTTTATAGGAGAAGCTGAACAAAGCAGGAGAGCAAAACAACGAGCGTCAGAGTCGACTGAATGAACTCGTTGACAAGGTGAAAAGGCTGCAAAACGAGATGGAGACATTGGAACATGATAAGCAAGCAGCGCAAGAGAGAATACAAAAGGTATAGGTTCATACATGCTCGTAGGACATGATCTGATCATGGAATTAGGATTCACCGAATCAATCCCGGCTACGAGAATTGGAAGAGGCAACAAAGGAGTACTCTACACGATTGGTACGGCTCAAGACAAAGAAGGATCTTCAAGAGACATCAACATTGGATGAACAAAAGTCATTATCAAAATTGGCAACAACCAAAGGAGAGGTACTATAAACATGAATGCGTACTACATGCATGATTATTTACCCATTATCTATAGCTTGAACGCGCGCTGCATGAGAAGAAGGCATCCTATGAGAAGACCCGTGAGCAATATGAGTCATTCAAAGCCAGCACCGACAAGAAGACAGAAGAATTGCAAAAGACATCCGAGCTGCTTCAGACACTCACTACTGGTATCACTGCTGAGGAAGGACGTGAAAATGGCTATATGGAGCAGCTGCAAGGTAAGCCCAATTCCCATTTTACATTTGTCGGGATCAATACTAAGCGGGCATATAGCTGCCAAAAATGCTGCCATGGAAGCATCCACAACGGAGGAACAAGCAAAGCTAAAGATTGCCCATTTGAAACAAGAGCTGAGTGAGAAGGAACCGCAGGCGGTTATGGCAGAGAAGGAGAATCATGGCTTGTTGGGACAAGTGGATGAAAAGCGTAAGATGGTATCCCAGCTCGAGGTAAATACAAAATTCAGGATCAATATTGGATGTTTTATTCACATGTAAATACCATAGCAACACCTCAAGGGAATACATTGGAATCCAGACCGGGAAGATGACCTGATATCTCAGCGAAACAAGGAGCGTGAAATCATCACAGAACTCAATGAGGTAAATGGATGATCGTGATTTATGGCGAGCACCAAGATATTAACCAGGACTACGTAGAGAATGGAATCACTTGGCCGAAAGCTTTCCAACCTCGACTTTGCATATACCAATCCATCATCCGATTTCGACCGTAGCAAAGTCAAAGGACTCGTGGCACAATTGATTCGATTGGACAAGAAGCACTTTGAAGCATCCACAGCTCTCGAGATTTGTGCTGGCGGCAAATTGTTCAATGTAAGCATTTGTTGATATCATAATGAAGAGCGCTTATTGACTTGCCCATGATAGGTTGTGGTTGAAAATGAAGTTGTTGGTGCTCAACTACTCGACAAAGGAAGATTACGACGTCGATGGACTTTGATCCCATTAAACAAGATTCAAGGAAGCAGAGCTCCCCAAGCGGTAAGAGACCATATCGATTGTTACCTTGGACTTGATGCTGAGCGACTCTATATAGAAAATCGATGCAGCTGAAAGACTTGCACCTGGAAAAGTGGATTTGGCATTGTCGCTTGTGGGATACGATCATGAAGTGGAGCCTGCAATGAAATGGATTTTCGGCAATACCTTTGTTTGTCGGGATGCTGAGACGGCAAAGCGAGTGACATTTGCAAATGATATCCGACTAAAGTCTGTTACATTCGATGGCGATGTGTATGATCCTCACGGCACGCTTTCTGGTGGATCCAAACCCCACAGTGCTGGTCTCCTTGTCAAGATCCAAGAAATGGCTGAATTACGAGAGGAAATTGATATCCATGAACGACGTTTGCGAGAACTGGATCATGAATTGGATCAAGCACAGCAAACGATCATTGAATATAAGAACACCAAGCAGCGACTTGATCTTCAAATCCATCAACTTTCACTACTGGAGAAACGTATCGAGCAAAGCACACATGCACAGGTAACTTGGCGGGATACCTTATCAGCTGTATCGATCACTAAAATAGATACCTTGTAGCTTAAGCAGCGGGTACAGGCTATCAAGGATCAACTTGTCGATTTGGAGCAGACCGTTACCGATGCTCAAGAAAAGCACAGCAGGGCTATCAAAGAGTCGAGCGCTATTGAGGCCGAGATGAATGAATTCAAAACCAACAAGGACTCGAAGCTCACTGAAATGACGGTATGGCATAATTTGTTTGGCTGTGTACATCGTTGCTGATATGTGTATTCGCTAGGAACGTGTCAACAAGTTGCGTAGTGTGTTGAACAAGAATGGACAAAAGCTCAATGATATGCAGCGGACAGTACAAACCCTGGAGCTTGAAATCGGTACTATTGATTCGAGCACTTTTATCATGGTAATCTAATCGGCGATATCGGTAGAGCAAATCCAAAACGACATTGCATCCTGCGAAAGCGATATGAAGCGTGTTGCCGACGCTATTGAAGGGTACAAGGGATCTGAGCGTGAACTTTCTCAAGAGATTGGTCGCATTGAGGTATATATATACATTGCATAAATGTGGGATCAACGTATACTAATTATCATACAGGAAGAATTGAACAAGGCACAAGAGGATCTTGAACAAGAAAAGCAATTGATCAGTGCAGTCAATGAGGAAATGAAGGAGCTTGAACAATTGCATAAGCAAAAGTCGTCAGAGGTGACCGAACACAATCTCGAGATTCAAAAGCTGGAGCATGAGATAGACCGCCAGAACCGTGAGCATCAAAATTCGCGCGATGTGATAGCCAACCTAGAACGAGAACATGAGTGGATTGCAGATCAAAAGCAGTAAGTGCTTCAAGTATACCTTTTGTATGCATGATATTGATAGGATCGATATAGGTTCTTTGGTCAAGCCGGCTCATCTTTTGATTTCGCCTCAATGAATGTGACCGAAGCCAGAAAGAATGTTCAGCAACTCAGGTCCAAACATGATTCGATGCGTAAAAAGATCAATGTCCGCGTCATGAGCATGATTGACAAGTAAGTCATGTTGAGCAATAGGACCCAATCAATGACTAATCATCATACAATTGTAGCGTGGAAAAGAAAGAAGGGTCCTTGAAGACTATGATGGAAACGGTGCAAAATGACAAAAAGATGATTGAAGATACGATCAAATCGCTCGATGGCTACAAGCTGGAGGCACTTGAGAAGACATGGCGCAAGGTCAACGAGTAAGTTGTGTGCGTGCATGCGTGTGCGCGTGGCTCGGATGTGTAAATATGGGTCATAACCTCCTGTATGATAGAGATTTCGCTGCCATCTTTGGAGACTTGTTACCTGGAAACACTTGTCGATTGCAGGCACCTGAAGGAAAAGAGATATCAGAGGGACTTGAGGTCAAGGTCAATTTGGGTGGTGTATGGAAGCAGAGTTTAACCGAGTTGAGTGGTGGTCAACGGTAAGTCATGCGGAAAAGCGCATTAACAAGGGAGGGAAAAAAAACTAATTGGATGCCATAGATCCCTTATTGCGCTATCATTGATCTTGTCACTGCTTCAATTCAAACCTGCTCCCATGTACATTCTCGATGAGGTTGATGCTGCATTGGATTTATCACACACACAAAATATTGGTCAACTGCTGCGGACACGTTTCAAGGGGTCACAATTCGTTGTTGTATCTTTGAAGGATGGCATGTTCAATAACGCCAATGTACTCTTTAAGACCCGCTTCGTCGACGGCACATCTGTTATAGAGGCAAGTGTTCAAGATCTTGTATTCTTTCCTTTGCTAACACACATTCGCAATAGCGTACAACGTCCCACTCTACAGACAAGCAACCCGAGGCTACAAGTCGCAAACGTACTCGAGGAGATAAAGAGAATCAACCAGCTTAGTCTAGCATGCTTCGCTTATACTTTGGAATAAAACGAAACTACTTATAGATGATGATCAGCTATATAATTGTGGTGCCAAGAAGAAGAAAAATAGAATGGCTTTTACACGATTCATAATATCTTATTTCATTGTCATGGGTTGTCATGGTGATATTTGTCAAAAACGATAGTATGTAGTACTACTACTAAGGAGGTGGTGGGTATGCATTGGGGTGAGTGGTGTTGACACACAAGACATGATTGGGCCTTCCTCTTTCATTCTCCAAAGACATTCCTTATAACAATGAAGCATTGCTATTTGCACCATCCTTTACACCAAACCACGACTCCGCAATGCCAGGCGGAACTTGATTGCTGATATCAAAGGTGATCGGATCATCCTTCTTGCTTACCGAACACGCATACCAATATTAAAAGCAGGATGACAACAATCCTTTGTAAAAATGGGGATGTGCATAGCGCGTACAAATGATTGATTTCTTGATAAATTTCTTATCAACTACCCCAAAATCGCCGATGTACATATGCATGGACAACATTACACCTAGGCTCTTTGGACGCAATCCTGGTACATGCGCCCTCATCACTTTATCAGCTCATGGATCAATTTATCAATCCATCATCCCCAGAAAACATTTATCATCTTTGTGGTCACGGAAATACACACGCCCACCGTGCACAATAAAAGGATGTTGTCGCCGCCCATCATACTCCCACATTTCTCTTTCCTCTGTCATACTTCTTTGATTGCTCCCAAGGTCAAATTTCCAAGATTTTGTACGTATCTCATTTTCTTGCAACGTTGTGAGTAAGCGCTGATCTTCGTGGTCATTGATAGGGTTTCCTTGTTATCTTGGTTTCATTGTTGCTGCCGTCCTCATTGTGATATTGGGTCCTTATAATAAGGTAAAGCCTGATCATGTTGCTTGATAGGTCACTACTCACACATCCTACCTTGTTACTTGCGATATTGCTATCTCCCTGTGAAGCATCTGCAAAGTTGATTTCCGTGTCATGGTCTACGTCCGGTGCTAAAATTGGCATAATGTCACTTCGCCATGTGATGGATCATCAGGAGCGGAGGGACCTCATCTTGCACGCAAACATATACGTCCATCCCCTGACAGCTTCGGATTTGGATTAGGTGTGGTGCATTGCCGTTTGAAGATTTCCCAAAGAGGCTATGGCAGATTGATCCTACCACTGACGTCAAGGAGTCCAGGGAGATCATAAAGATCATGCAGTATACCCTGACAGCCTTCCACCTTCACTGTTTACGGGCCGTCGAACCCACTGACCATGAACGGACTTCGTGCAATCAACCATGCCCGTTTTTGAAGCCCTTGCACAAGTAACGGGACTTTCAAAGTACAATTGTTAAAGTGGCAACAGAGATTTATGTATTCAAGATTGATTCGATCAAAGGCCATGGCGAGAGTCAAAGGAGACACGTGTTTACCAACCAGCTTTTGACTGGAGGCTAGTAGTTATTGAACAAAAGCGATTATAGGTGCGAGAAGCAGCTTCTAGCAAGCGAGCTCGTGTATCTGAAGTTGAATGATGGCAACCAGAAACGATCAACATCGCGCATGATGGATGGTCTCGGTCGGGCGGATACTGCGCACGGGTCAATGGAGGCGTTACTTGAAGCACCAAGGTAATCAAAAAGAATTTGCTGTTTGCAGGGTATTAAAAAGCGCATATAGTGCAAAAAGAGAGGATCATCCAACCAATAGCCTCGACGACACAATCAAGCTACTTGAATGTGCCACCCATTCATTACTTGTCGAAATGCATCATTGCAGGGCTGCTCATTATGACACTTATGCCAAGCTTGTAATGTCATTTGTATACAAGAAAAGAGACTATGAACCACGAGACTCAATAAGATGATTGATCCTTTATTCAATTGGTGTTGGTTGAGCGTATTTATATCTTAATGGATGATGGTGGCTAAGAGGGCTTGTGAGTGCTTCCTAATGGGTGGTCTGTGTGATACAATCATGCAACGTGTGCTACAGTAAGGCGGTGTGAATGAATCTCCATACTATTTGGCACCTTCGAGACCAGCAGCATGCCTTGATACCATCTGCATAGAATCCATCACCACCAATGCCAACATTCCTAACACCATCATCATCTAAGCATGCACGAAATCACCACGCCCTATACTTAAAAACGCCCATCCTCCTCATCTCAATACCAGACGACCCTCATCCTCTACTGAAAAATCTTGAATGTATTATCATGCTTCTTCTTCCTCCTCCTCACTATCTGTCACTTGTTGATCTAATTGCCGCAGCCTAGTCTTGTACTTCTTCATCTCCATGGTTTGCTCACCTATAACAACAATAAGTATACGCATGTAAAAAATAAACCATGTCATTGTTTCTCCCCCCCCCTTCTTACCCATGCAAACCAGCAAGTCTTCTTGTTCTTCTTTGATAGAGGCAAGGGATTGCTCCAATTCACCACGTGACTTTTCCAGTCCACTCACTTGGCCACGTAAATTGTCATTTTCAAGACGCTATGGCATCAAAGTCAGCTGGACGGTCATAGCTGAATAGTGTATCACCTTCTTACCATAGCTTCGAGTGCCTTTTCTAACTCGGCAACCTTGCTTTCCAAGCTGTTGATCTTTTCCAAATGTTGTGTCTTTTCAGTGGTGAGTTGCTTGATCTCATCAGCTTGCTTGTTGATCGTGGATGATGTTTCTCCCACCGGCGTTGCTAGATAGATAAAAGGTGTTGGCCTTTACATAATGCACCATACTTGAACAACCTACCTGTATCTCTTTGCGGACCAAAACTAGATGGCTTCTTTTTCAGCGATCTTTGTACAGGCTCTACGATAGACATCCATTAGTAATCCTCCCTTCACATGTGCAACTTAATCATCCAACATACCATATGCATCCTTGAAAAAGTCAACAAATGTGCTATCCAACAAGAGCAAAGGTAACGAGCTTGTGTTTGCAGAGATGGATTCATCTTCAGCGGATATCTGGAGGTATTGGGGTGCGTTCTTGATAGCAGGGCTGTCTCGCAATCGAGCCAAAGCACTTGTAAACAAATCAATGCGACTTGAAAGGATCGTCTGCATCTTTTCTCGGCTCAAGGGCGTCTGTGGGTCATCATTGAACTCATATGAAATTCCAAGTAGGAATGCTGCTAGGCCTTGAACAATGGGATCATTGGCGGATGATTGGGCTTCTTGTATTAACTACGCTAGCGCATCAGTATAAAGCATTTTAGACTGCAATAGACACAACTTACAAATTGAATATGGGTACTTTCGGAAAGGAAAAGGCTGACAGAGGATGGACTATTGTATAGCCATGTGCACATTAAACATAGATACGCGATAGGGATCCTGGCATTGGTCGACGCATTGCGGATAGCCATCAACATTTGGGCCATGATATGATGCAATAAAGGCACTGGCTCTTCACCTATTACTCAAAAGATGAGATGATTGCTCTTGTTTAACCATCACCATCACCACCTGATAATACCATTTGCTTCCTCTCCAAAAACAATGTCACCGGCAATACGCTTGGCTGCATCATTTTCTCGAATCACGTGGGATAGAATGACCGAAGCAAACCACACCTTGTAGGGATCGGAAGATGATAATTCCCAATTCTGAATATAATCCAACAACAATGATCCAGCCGAGAATGGTTTATCTAAACAAGCCATCGATCAATCACTTGATGGATTATGAGCATGACCCATATACATACCTTCATATTGGGCATTGGCATTATCCTCTGGTGGTGTCTTTAGTGTGGATGCGAGTACCATTTGTGCTTCAGGATGATCTTCAATAGCAGCGATAACAGTGTAAGCGGCAGCAGCTCTGCTAGCGTAGCTGTATTGGACACTAGGGTCGCTGTCGACAGCGGTAGCAATCAATGACACCATGGCTGGACGTGGTAAACCTGGAGGTGCCGATGAATCGACTTCACCCTCAGGTGTCAATTTGAGTGGGCTGGCAACCACCGTTTGTGCGAGCAAGTCTTGATTAGCATTGTTGCCACGAACAAGGAAAGCGATAGCATAAAGTGCCTCCGTGCGGACAATGGAAGGTGCATTGGAGCATATACCAAGCTGGACAATGGGAAGAAGGGTATTGCATTGTGCCATAATCTTTTGGTTGACAGCAGTATTGACACCATCAGGCTCAGAGAGAATACGGCATAATTCGAGCACCAAGACGGTATTTGCAACTTTTTGTGGTGGCCAATCTTCATATGAAAAAGGAACATGATCCGCTTCACTATCGCCAACATAGCCAAGTAGACCTGGAATTGCTTGAATGCAGCTTGTTTCTCGAAAGTACACCTATCATACTAAGTTACCATCTCTCTCCCATATCCTTGAGTTGTTATCTTACCTGATTCGAGACATTGTAACGTAACAAATGGTGCATCAATGTTAAGCTGTCTTGAACGATAATGCCTCCCGATATGCCTTCCTCATCTTCAATCACTGCCAACAGCTTTTCAAATGTCGCCTGGAATGCCACCAGCTTTTGGATCTCGGTGTTGTTTTGCGTCAACGTGATCAGCAGTAACAAGCTCTCTACAAATAGCTGATTAACGCATGGAAGAGACATACAATGAACCCAACATACCATTGCGAATAATGTCACGTTTATCACTTAGGAGATCAACAAGGCGTGCAATACCCATGGGGCTCGTAAGGACACATTGTTGTACGCCGGCATTGCGATTTGCTGAAAGAGTCGCAAGTAGTTTGAGAGCTGTGTATCGTACGTAAAAGTCGAATTCTTCCAAAACATCGAGTACAATGGAGACATTGGTGGCATCCTAGTGCAATGCTGTTATTGATCCATGTCATTTCCACAAGCTGAATCATGCATACCTTGATAAACATGTCGGTGTAATGATAACCTTGATCATCATGCGAGCCCTTTTGTAATGGAATGATAAGTTACTGTTATATGATCACGCCCTTGTCCTTATGTAGGCTTACTTGGTATTGCACTGTGCATAAGATATTGATAGTCTCGAGGATCGATTTCACAATGTCGCCATCCCGAAAGTCGTTGTGTAGTGTCTTGATGAGAGGTGCAAAGCATTTCGAGCCGACAATCTACCCCACCCATGAGTTTGAGCCATTTACAAATAAAAAGGTTGACTTACCGCTGGGTAGTCGCGAACAAGACCCTTGAGACTAAGAACAGCAGCACGCCTGTCTTCCAAAAGAGTGGCCGTTTCTAGGCAATCCGCCAGCTTTTCGACCGTGTCATCCACCGATTGCGGTTGTCCTTTTTCACCTCGTAGTGCAGTGTATCCACGTGTAAGGAAATCCATTGCAATGACAAAAGAGGGAGGGGGTTTGAAGAAGGGGTGGGAAGCAGCAGAGTGAAAAGAGAAAAAAAGGAAGAAGGCGCTCTCTCTCTATAGATTGGACCAGCGTCAGCGGGCAGCAGCAGCAGTAGTAGTAGTTACACAGACAATCAGGCACAACCTAAATCAAACACACACACACAAGAAATGCATGGTTGTTTTTTGGTTTAGCGATAATAATAGAGGAGGGAAGTTTATTCAATACATCAAAGGAGGGTATGGAGGATGTTACAAAGGAAAGTTTAAACAGCCATCTAGTACATGAACGTGTGGAAGCTGTCATTGTTGTCCTACTCAGTCCAGCCAGATTGTGCCTTATCCGAGTGCTCATTGAAAGCCTCATCAACCCATCCAGATTTAGCAACATCAGCATGCTCATTAAGTTGTTCATCAACATGCTCGGTCCATCCAGATCCTGCAAGGTCGGCATGCTCCTTAGGTTCTTCATCAACGTGTTCGGTCCATCCAGAGCCCGCAAGGTTGGCATGGTTACTGGGTACTTCGTCAACATGTTCGGTCCATCCAGAGCCTGCAAGGTCGGCATGTTCACTAGGTTCTTCATCAACGTGTTCGGTCCATCCAGAGCCTGCGAGGTCGGCATGATCACTTGTTGTAACTTGCCATCCATCTTCAACCACGTCGTCATGGATATCGGATACTTGTTGCCATGATTCAGAATCGGCATTGATCTCTTCAGCTTTCCATTCACCAACATTCGAGTGATCGGGCACACTGAAAGATTCGGCGCCATCACCTTCCACCCATGTACCAGTAACTGCATCCGAATGCGTGTATGCTTTGGTATCAGGTTCAGGCACAACATCCACTTCTTCTTCATTCCAATGGCCCATATCAGAGTGGTCGAAGGGTTCACTGTAGGTGGGTGGTGTATTGCCCCAATCAGAACGATCATCATGCATGTTTGCCATAGCCGATGGATCGATATCTTGAGAGGTCCACACGCCTTCATTCGAATGATTGGGTACATTGTCGCTTTCATCGAACCATTCATGAGCAGGAGCAGGGAGTTCTTCAACGGACCATTCATCGCTGTTGATTGCTGTAGTGGAAGATGTAGCCATCGATTGGGTCTTTACAGAACCAGAACCTTCGGAAAACATGGGTGCATCATTGTGCTTTGCAAGCTTGTCCAATTCATCATTCAAATGCTTATCAATCACTGGTGCATTGTCGTGGGTTGAATGGTCGCTATTGTCATGAGATGCTGCTGCTGCTGCTGCTGAAGACTTTTTGTCACCGAGCAATTTATCCAACTCCTCGTTCAAATGCTTGTTGGCATGGGTACGGTTGTCTTTGTTGGTAAAGTATTGATCAGCATTTTGGTGTGGCGTGTCATCGACAGCGGACTCAATCTCATCAGCCGAGTTCTTGTGAGTGATAACTTCATCCACGGTAGCCTTGTTGTTGTCGAGGTATTTCGTATGATCCATGTTCAAACCCTACAATGATAAATGTCAGTATCAATAATAAATAAAGCGATCGTCTATGTGTATGCATTACCTCGATAAAAGACTCAAAGTCGGGAAGATCATCATCATCCTTGGCGTCGTCGTCGTCTTTGGCGTCAACATTCGCATCATCGTTGTGGTTCTTTTTGATATAGCCATCAATCTCGTCAAGAGCTTCTTCCCAATCCTGATCCTTTTGATCATTGGCATGTGATTGAGTGGCAGAGGATTTGATAGCCTTGATGGCGCGATCGGTGTCATCTTGATTGATATGATCGTCATGTGAAGAGGATGATGATGATGCCTTGATCTCAAACTCGCTGGACTTGATTTGACAAGGAGAGGATCCACCAATGGTGTCAATGTTGACCTGATAGATACCTATGTTCGAGATGTTAACAATGAAATGGGGGATACATTGTGGATGTTTCACCCTTCCTTACCAGGTTGATCCACAGCAAAATTGGTTTCATTCGTGGCACCGCGATTCGCATCTGAGATGGTGTCAAAAATAAGCATTCAAATGACCTTGGATAATCAACGCTTCACTTACCAAACTCGCCAATATGAACAACGTTGTTGTTGTCATTCTTGTTAACAAGCGTGATATTCACCTCGTCGAAAGCATTCTCGATCATATGCCAGGAAATGACGTGTTTGGTGTTGTTTTCAAAGACGATGGGATCTATGCATTTTGGTGTTGTTGAGTGAAACCATGTCCATTAAAAGAGTTGTCGTGTACTGATAGATACCTTGTCCTGGTTGATTGGCGGGAAAAGTGATACGCATATCTGAATGAAGAAATACATGTAATTTAATATTGTTGTCATGGCAGCAGAAGGATGGTGTGGTTGTACCTGAGCAGGCATCTTGAGTTGAAGCATCGTCATTGTGTTGAGCAAGGGGTTGAGCAAACATGGGATTAGCATCAACAAAGGTGCCAATTTGCAGCAGCAAGGCTGCGCTTGTTGTAATGGTGAATAGGTTGCCGAACTTCATTAGTGGACGACAGAGGAGGAGGAGGAGAGAAGAAACGAAGGGAAAGGAAAGGGGGGAAAAGGTAAAGAAGAACGAAAGGAGGAGTGCGGAAGTGGATCCAAAAAAAGATGCACACAGTGGGTTTTTAATGGGATTGTGCAACAGCAACGACAAGGATGTACAACACTAAACTACAAATACCGAGATTGTCCTCTACTCTCCCAAGCTAATCCAACAGCAGAATCGGCAAACCCTGCACTTTCAAATTCGCTTTCCAATGCACTACCATCCACCTTATAATGGGTATTCGTTGATGATGAACATACGACTCGTCTATTATATATAGTACAAAGACTTTTTAGCTCATTATCTCCAATTATTCCATCCAATCATCACTAACCTTTTCCTCCTGTTATCCTCGCTCTCAGCAACAGCTTCAGCAATGGATCGTTTCCCCCGTCGCCCTGATGCCTTCCTTATCCTGTTCGGTATAGGTGATTCATTATAGCTACTTGATGATGTCGCCAACATGCCTTGTACAAAGTCATCCAATTCTTCATCGCTAAGGTATCCATTATTATGCTGTTGATCCTGCCGTGTCAATGAAGGTGAAAGTGGACTTGATAGCAGTGGATCCGAATGTATCTCATCCTCTTCTTCAACGTCTTGTGCCAATGAAAACTCCTCGGTAATATCGTCTGGTATAGCTTGTTCGATCGATGCTCGACGACCTTCGTATTGAGAAAGCAATGCCATTTGCTCGGCCCTGACCTTTTCCTCTTCTTGTAAACTCAACTTCATTGCCATCTCAAGATCTTGTTGCTCTCGCTCATTCGCACGTTCTTCTGCTGTCTTGCGTGGTTTCTGTGGGCTTAACCATTTTTGTAGGCTTCCTTTGGGCATATACAACCAACCAACCGCTTGTGTCAAATTCAACGTTGTGCGTCCGATTTCGATGCCCATCTTTGTGCTTTTTATGATTGATCACGTGCACATTATTCAACGCTCTGTAGCTAATGACTTGCATCCCTCCATTACCTTATGATGAATCCAAATAAAAACGAAGACAAGTGTACTTTCATCTCCATGGATACTAAATTCAGTTGGCATGGCAATGATGTAAACGACCTCATATGTGTGGTGTTATACTTTTAAGAATGACATGTATTTGTATTGTCTAACAAAGTACAGGATGCAGCTTATTGACATGGAAGATGCAAGAGTGTAAATGGTATACAACAGTTGAGTAGATAAAACTAAGAATGGGATGAAAACATGTAAAGAAACAAACGATAAAAAGGGAAATCTATCTGCGACCACCATAGCCTCCACGGCCACCACCACGGCCTCCTCCTCCGTAACCTCCACCATTTCGGTAGCCACCACCATTGCGGCCATTTCGGTTATTGTTGTTATTGTATCCGCCACCGTATCCGCCGCCGCCATAGCCACGACCATTGCCACGACCACCAAAGTCACGTTGCTCTCGTTCAGCCAGCTCTGGTAATTCCTTGAGAGAAACGAGAGACACACCACGATTACCATTGTAAGGACGACCGGCAAGCAAGACTTGACCATCTTCCTTCACTTCAACCTTGGAGGAGACAACATCGAAAACAACGCCACAATAATCACTTGTCATGCGCCATGCACGGCAATCCTCATAACCCAATTCAGGGAATTCACGCTTGATGATACTGCGGACATAACCAGGATGTTGGATTTCACGATCGATTTGGAACATGAGGGTAGTGAAACCTTCCATGGCAGAAAGCAATGAACGGCTGGGGACACCTTGATGATAACCAGAGACGAAGGCAAGGGCAGCTGCAACAGCATTAGTAGCACCATGCTTTTCAATCAATTCTTGAGCAGATTCAGCAAACAAGGGCAAGACATCGGGATTCACAGTGTCGATTTGTTGAAGAGCATCCTCAGTGGTAGCCTTGATGATATCTTCGGGACGAGGAGCTGACATGCGTTCAAATTGGACACCAGTGCGACGAGTAATAAGATTCAAGAGAGATTCTTCTTGGGGCTTGAAAAAGGTGACACAGACACCCTTACGACCAGCACGACCCGTACGACCGGAACGATGAACGTAACTTTCAGTATCCTTGGGAGGTTGACAATTGATGACCAAATCCACTTGAGGAATATCGAGACCACGCGCCAACACATCTGTGCACACAATACACTTGTATTTGCCTTGACGGAAAGCCTTCATTGTTGATTCACGCGATTGTTGTGCGATATCACCATGCAATACGGCAGCATCTTGCTTGATCTTTTCATGAGTACCCAATTCGTTGGCATCAGCTTTGGTGGCGCAAAAGATGACTGTCAATCCACTTCGACCATAGACATTGACGACATCACCGATAATATCAGCACGTGCTTGATAAGATGAAGGCATAGCAATATGGCGAATGTTTTGGTTGGTGCGGTTCTTTGCATTGCCGACAAGATCGATACGCTTATAGTCGCTCTTCATAAATCGCTGAATAGTTTCCAAGACTGAATCGGGAACAGTAGCAGAGAACAACAAAGTCTGGTAATCACGTTCTGATTTCTGCTCCTTGACAAAGTCGAGTGCTGCAAACATGTCTTGTTCGAAACCACGAGCATCCAACCTATATAAAATGACCCGTTATTATCTCTCAAATCATAATCTTTGAAATCCCCAATACTTACATTTCATCAGCCTCATCGAGAATAATGTACTTGAGAGCATGAAGCTTAAGATTGCCATACTTGATGTGATCAAGGATACGACCAGGAGTACCAACAATGACATCCACACCAGCCTTGAGGACTGAGGTTTGTTCTTGATAAGGAGTACCACCATAGACGGGCAATGCTTGAAGACGGTTGCCAGAGATAGTCTCGAAATCACCACACACTTGCTTGGCCAAATCACGAGTAGGGCACATGACCAATACTCTTGGAGCACGACCACGACGAGTGTTGTATTCAGTATCCAATGCCAACTTTTCAATGACGGGCAATGCAAATGCAAGCGTCTTGCCGGTACCAGTACGTGCACGTGCAAGGACATCGTTGCCATCAAAGATAGAATCGAAGGTAGCTGCTTGGATATCGAACAATGACTTGATGCCACGAGCCTCCAAGTTCTCAACAGTGCCTTGGGAGATTCTGAACTTGCTCAGTTGCAAATGCTCAGGTACTTGATCCTCATTGTGCTTGCCGCTCTCTTCAACAACCTCGGTCTTGCGCTTCTTGCTTTGTGGTTCCTCTTGTTGTTCTTGTTGTTGTGGCTCAACTTCCTTGGTGGGTTCTTGATCTTCAAACTTGTGGTGCGAATTCATAGATCGATCTTCTCTATCCCGCTTCTTGGATCCGTCATACTTGGAATGCTTGGAGGAGCGATCTCGTTTGTCTATGACCCATAGTGAGTACTCCTTGACTCGATCCATAACCAACCACCTTCATTACTTACCACGATCAGAGTAGGAAGTGGGCATAGTGTGCGGGAAAAGGGTGTAACGAGAAACAGAAAGGAAATTTCACTTTGGGCTCCCCCTCTCTCTCTCCTTAAGGTACTCAATGGGTGGCTTTTCGGAAACATGCTGCTGCTGACACCTTTCCAATCAGCAGTGTCGGATCATAGAAATAGCTATCCTCGTACCTGACAACAGCATAATAAATGTCTCATTCACTTTGAAGGACCAATCAATCGCATTACAAGTTTTTTTTTATGTGTGTATTTGTATTTGTGTATTCTTCCATGCATCATGTAAGTACCACCGCCACATGCAGCAAGACAATATTGCATCCGATGTGGAATGTGCATCGTCATCAACAACAACAGCTGCTGCAGTGTACAAAAAGGGAGGAGGAGATGATGGGCGGTGAATGACCACCTGTGGCCAGGGACCACCACTAAACGTAATCTCTTTGTTACCCCACGAAATGCAGACAAGCTTTGGGGATGCACAACCATGTGAAACTTTACATATACTTTACAATAATGTGCACTGCTCTCTTGTATTCTTCCCCAATATTGCTTCTTCTTTCTTTTCACATCATATAACGCCATTGCATGACTTTTTCATTATCATGGTTTACGACGGGTTTGCTGTACGCAACATCATCTACATTATCGCTGTCATGCAAACAGCCATAGCTCCGCTAGCCTTTGTATACCATGTTTACTACCTCACCACCACGCAATCCCTCTTTTCCACCCATATACCTATAATCGATTCTTTAATGGACATATGGCTCAAACTAGAGCTCATCTTTTACATATACTTTCAAGTCACTTGGAATAGGATGCAATCCTTGTTGCCACCTGTTAAACCTGGTCTCAAGGCGCGTCGGCGTTTATTCCATAATACTATCAACAACATTACCGACATAGATGATTGGATCACAGGCTGGTTCCTGAAACCTAATGGTCGTCCACCATGCATACAAGAAATACGGCGTGAAAACCTTGCAGAATGGTACGTAACCATAAACGTCTTGCTTCATGTCTTTTTTTTTCTCACTTTTTTATGCAGGGTAGCATGGGCCTTTTTTGCAAAGCCTTTGGAATCGGTCTTGGAAGATGTTGAAGAAACAGACCAAGTGCAATGGATGACCGATTCTTTGATAAGCAAATTTTGTCTGGAGCTGCAGCCAGGGTACGACGAAGACATTCGTGCATTACGTATCACACTTGATCCTGTACAAGCGTATCATCGACCTTTGGCATTTTACATTTGCATGGCAACCATCACATTCATGATTCATCACGTGTTGTTTGAGCGATATTGGCGAATGCAGCGTTATCAATGTGGACACTTGTCGTACTGGCTACGATCAGGTGGGGCCAACAAATCTGACAACAAAAAGCCGATCGTGTTTATCCACGGCATCGGACCCGGTTTCCTACCCTACATAAAGTTCTTGTGTAACCTGCTACGACTGGATGATGGGGCATCAGATGTCTTTTGTGTCGAGTTACCACACGTATCCATGCGTTGTATAGAGCATGCACCAAGTATGCATCAGACCGTACGTGACTTGAGATTCATGCTAGCCTATCATGGATATCGAGATGCTGTCTTTGTCGCCCACTCATTGGGCACAGGCCTTGTGTCTTGGGTTTTACAACATTCTCCAAAGACCGTTGCCTCCGTTGTCATGCTCGATCCCATATGCTTTATGCTGCATTACAAAGATGTCTGCTATAACTTTGTTTATCGCATACCAAAAACTGCAAGCGAGGTATGTAAAACTATCAATGACCATTATCTTTGTACTTTTGCATCATACTAACATCATCATTCATCATTATTCTACATAGTACATTGTCAAGTTCTTCGCGTCCACCGAACTATACATATCTTATTACATCTCCCGCCACTTTCATTGGTTCCAACTTGCACTCTATGTGACGCCATCGTACCTTGCAAATAGCCCGTACGCTTCCACGACAACAATCACCATGCCACGCAACACTAAAATCTTCCTTTCGGAGCACGACAATATCGTCCATTCAGATCGCGTGCATGATTATCTAGTGACCAATGCCATTGATTCCACTATTATGGAGGGGATGGATCATGGATGGTTCCTCTTAAGGTCGTCTTGGCAATCTGAGATTATGGCTGCAATCCAAGAATTTGCATCCAATGTATAGAAAGATACCCTGCCTACATACATATTACACCACCCATACCCGGTGCATTCGTTTTCTAAATCTAATATACAACACTCAACATAAATCGTCGCAGCGAAATCAGGCTTTAAATACTATATTATGTACATGAAATATCAGTGTATGCTAGCCGCCGTGGTTGCTTGCTTCGCTCCTAAGATTTTGAATGATGGTTCCTCCGTAAACGGGCAGCTAATAACCTTAGTCCTCCCATTCTCCATTGTTGTCCAATCCAATGCATATGAACGATTGTCCTGCTCCAGCCCAACATGCCCATCATTTAACTTTCTTGATTCGAGGTAACCTGGTAGTAAAGGCA